TACTAGTCCAGCAAATCTACATTATATCCTCATGGTCAAAATGAATTTCACACTGCTCCTTAAGAATACATTGAATGGGTTCAGAAATAAAACAGTTCACTTGTTTGTTTGTTTCTTGTTTGTTTATTTTAGTGAACAGAGTGAAGTTCTTAGAATCAGGCCTTGGTCTATGGGCCTGAAGGATCTCCAGAGAACTGATGTGAAAAAGATTCAGTATGTTAGCAAATGGCAATTCTTCAATTAATTCCCCTCTTCGTATATCTTTTAATTTAGCTGTTGGCACCCAGAAACGCTTGGGTATATTTACCTCCTTGGATATATACAAGTTAGAAAATGCTCCTTAGTTTTTTCTCATTGAAGAGGGGTAGACTGAAAAACATGGCAGAAGAAGACTTGGCCTTGGATTAAATAATGACACCAGAAAAATGCAAGACATTTTCCCCTTCTGAGCTGGAAGTGCACACCATCAGGATAACAAAAGGATACATGTAAGTTGGGATGCCTCTTGAGGCCAAGTGTTTCCGAATAAGTCGCTCAGTACCATACCAGTTAAAACCTTCCGTGGCATGTCCAATGCGTGGAAGATGGACACTTGCTGTTAAAAAAAAAAAAAGAATCATGATGTCTTCATTCATCAAATTGATTAATGTGTATAAAATATACATAGGAGATAATAACATATTCTGAGTCACTTTTGTGGTTCCCAATGAACAAAATGTATATAATCTTGGTGTGTCCCACTCAAAGCATATGATTATAATGTCAAAAATATTCTGGGGAGGGGTTGTAATAGGGGAAAATTAAATTAATTCTATTGAACACAAGGACCTACAGGCTCTGGAAATAAGTAGGTACTATGGAAATAAAATACGATCAATGATCAAGATGTAATCAAAATAAGGAAAGATTCTTTAACAAGTCAAGGGGACTTCCCTGGTGGCGCAGTGGTTAAGAATCCGCCTGCCAGTGCAGGGGACGTGGGTTTGATACCTGGTTTGGGAAGATCCCACATGGTGCAGAGCAACTAAGCCTGTGTGCCACAACTACTGAGGCTGCGTTCTAGAGCCCTCGAGCCACAACTACTGAGCCCCCGCGCCTAGAGCCTGTGCTCCGCAACAAGAGAAGCCGCTGCAATGAGACGCCCGTGCACCGCAACGAAGGCGTAGCCCCCACTCGCTGCAACTAGAGAAAGCCCGTGCACAGCAATGAAAACCCAATGCAGCCAAAAATAATAAAATAAATTTATTTAAAAAAAGTCAATCAGTTCAAGAAACTGTGAGACAGCACACTGGGCTTAGAAACAAAATTGAACTCGGGTTTTTGGCAGAGAACTGTCTGCTAATGCAGACTGGGACTCTCCAAGAGGCGTTTCACAACTGCATTATGACCAGTTTACTTCATCTCTGGTCCTTTACTTCCTCATCTGTAAAATGATACAAATACCCAAGTGGATGCAGGCAGTCCACAGAGATAATGGATACAAAAGTGATGCAGAAAGGAAAAGGGCTTTGCAAATACAAGATGCGGAGGTTGTTACTTCTGTGATCTCTCATACTGGGGCTTACCTTTACCATGTATGCTGAATGGGGTCTTGACATTTCTTACCTCCCTTTAAAAATCACATCATATGCTTGGGAGCAGAAATTTATCTATCCCTGAGCACAAGTGGAAGAGCTTACCTTTCTTTTTCTTTGCTGCTAAAAATATCTTCTTCAGGCCCTCGTCTAGGGCTGCCATCTTAATGCCAGACAGGACATTGGCACGATCACGGTGCTGGGCCACAATCAAGGCCAACTAGGAGGAATGATCGTTAGCTGGGTGGGAGCAGGAGTAGTTTCAAGGGGAGGTGATGGGAGTCAAAGTTCAGCTCTGATAAACTGATGTGGTTGTTTACTTACCAAATCTTGCCCTTTGTTTCTTGACTCTTTATCATCAATAGGAAATAAAAGGACACCTCCCAAACACAAATCTGAGGTAAAACAAAAGGGAGCAACAGAAAGAACACAAAGTTCACTACAGAATGAGATCCCTGAGGAAGGACTACTCTGAATCCTCCTTATGTCTTGCCTTTTCCAAATCCACTCAGGTATGGGTAAGAGTGGCACCCCGTCTTGTTCCTGGTATTAGAGGAAAAGCTTTCAATTCTTGTGGAATATAATGTTAGCTGTGGGTTTGCTGTATATGGCCTTTTATATTATACTGAAGTATGTTCCTTCTATACCCAATCTGCAGAGGGTATGTTATCGAAAGGATGTTGTATTTTGTCAAATGATTTCTCTGCATCTATTGAGATGATCACTTGTATCTTTCATTCTATTAACGTGGTGTATAACATTTATTGATTTGTGTATGTGAACCATCCCTACATCCCAGGGAAAATTCCTGCTAGGTCATGGAATGTAATCCTTTTAATGAGTTCCTGAATTACGTTTGCTAATATTTCCCTGAGAATTTTTGCATCAATGTTTACCAGAGATATTGGTCTATAGTGTTGTTTTCTTGTAGTGTCCTTATCTGGCTTTGATATTGGTAATACTGGCCTCACAGAATGAGTTTGGAAGCGTTCCCTCCTCTTCAATTTTCTGGAAGAGTTTGAGAAGGACTGATGTTAATTCTCCTTTGAATGTTTGGTAGAATTTGCCAGTGAAGCCATCTGGTCCTGGAGTTTCCTGTGTTGGGAGGTTTTTAATTACTGAGTCAATCTCTTTACTCATCATTGATTTGCTCAGACTTTCTGGTTCTTACTGGCTCAGTCTTGGTAGGTTGTAGATTCTATGAACTCATCCATTTCTTCTAGGTTATATAATTTGTTGGTGTACAATTATTCATAGTAGTCTCTTATGATTCTATGTATTTCTGTAGGGTCAGTTATAATTTCTTTTCTGGTTTTATTTGAGTCTTTCCTCTTTTTCTTAGTCTTGCTAAAGGTTTATCAATTTTGTTTATCTTTTTGAAAAACTAGCTCTTAGTTTCATTGACCTTTTGTTTTTCTGGTCTCTATTTCATTTATTTCTGCTCTGAATTTTACGTCCTTTATTCTGCTAACTTTGGGCTTAATTTACTCCTCTTTTCTAATTCCTTGAGGGGTAAAGTTAGGTTGACTATTTGTGATCTTTCTAATTTCTTAACATTTGCATTTATTACTGTAAGCTTCCCTCTCAGAACTGTTTTTGCAGCACCCCATAGGTTTTGGTATGTTGCATTTCTATTTTCACTTTTTTGAAATATTCTTTGATTTTCCTGTTGGTTTTTTCTTTGACCCATTGGTTGTTCGGGAGTGTGTTGTTTAGTTTGCACACACTTGCAGATTTTCCAGCTTTCCTCGTTTTATTTCTAGTTTCATACCACTGTGAACACAAAAGATACTTGGTATGATTTCAATTGTCTTATTTTGCTAAGACTTGTTTTTTGCTCTATCATATGATGTCTCCTTGAAAATGTTCCACGTGCACTTAAGAATGTGTATTCTGCTGCTGTTGGATGGAATGTTCTATAGATGCCTGTTAGGTCCACTGGGTCAAATGTTTGGTTCAAGCCCATCATTTCCTTGTTGATTTTGTCTGGATGATTTACGTATCACTGACAGTGGAGTATTGAAGTCCCCTATTATTATTGTATTGTAGTCTATTTCTCCCTTCGTATCTATTAATATTTGCTTAATGTATTTAGGTACACAGGTGTTACGTGCATATATGTTTACAACTGTTATATCTTCTTGATGAATTGATCCCTGTATCATTATATAATGACCCCTTTGTTTATTACCATTTTTGGCTTAGAGTCTATTTCGTGTGATATAAATATAGCTACTTCCACTTTCTTTTAGTTTCCACTTGCATGGAATGTATTTTTCCATCTCTTCACTTTGAGTCTACATGTGTCTTTAAGGCCCAAGTGGGTCTCTTATAGGCAGTATATAGTTGGGTCTTGTTATTTTTATCCATCTAGCCACTCTGTGCCTTTTGATTGATGAATTCAATCCATTTATATTTTATTTATTTATTTTTGGCTGTGCTGGGTCTTCATTGCTGCACATGGGCTTTCTCTAGTTGTGGCTAGTGGGGGCTACTCTTCACTGTGGTGCGTGGGCTTCTCATTGCGGTGGCTTCTCTTGTTGTGAAGCACAGGCTCTAGGCACGCAGGCTCAGTAGTTGTGGCACAGGGGCTTAGTTGCTCCGCAGCATGTGGGATCTTCCCGGACCAGGGCTCGAACCCGTGTCCCCTGAATTGGCAGGCGGATTCTTAACCACTGCGCCACCAGGGAAGTCCCCAATCCATTTACATTTAAAGTAATTATATGTAAGGACTTACTAATGTCATCTTGTGCTTTCCAGTGGTTTTGTATTTCCATTGTTTCTCTTTCCCTCTGTTTTCTGCCTACCTTTGTAAATTGGTTATTTTTTGCGGTGGTATACTCTGGTTCCCCTTTCTCTGCCTTTTGTGGATCTGCTCTGGGTTTTTGCTTTGTGGTTACTATGGCGCTTACATGAAACATCTTATAGACAGAACAGTGTTCAAGTGCCTATAAAAGCTCCACCCTTTTACTCCTCCCTTTTATACTATACATGTAACAATTTACCTCTTTTTATGTTTTTATATTATTCATTAGCAATTTATAGTAGCTATAGTTATTTTTACTACTCTTTTCCTTTAACCTTTACATTACAGTTGAGTGGTTAACACACCATCCTAACACTGAGTTAGTTTTCTAAATCTGACTCTATATATTTTACCTTTACCAGTGTGTTGTGTACTTTCACATGTGTTCATGTCACTGATTAGTGTCTTTTCATTTTGGCTTGAAGAACTCCTTTCAGCATTTCTTGCAAGGCAGGTCTAGTGGTGGTGAATTCCCTCAGCTTTTGTTTGCCTAGGAAAGCCTTTATTTCTCCTTCATACCCAATAGATAACTTTGCTGGTAAAGTATTCTTGGCTGGAAATTTTGATCTTTCGACACTTTGAATATGTCATTCCACTCTCACGACCTGTAGAGTTTCTGCTAGGAAATCTGCTGAGAGCCTAATAGGGGTTCCTTTGTAGGTTACATTCTTGTTTTCCCTGGCTGCTTTTAAGATTCTTTATCATTGATTTTTGACAGTTTCATTATAATGTGTCTTGGAGAACGTCTTTTTTGCATTGAGATTATAGGGTGATCTATTAGCTTCATGGACATGTATGTCCAAGACTTTCCCTGGGTTTGGAAAGTTCTCAGCTATTATTTCTTAAACTCTTTGTCCCCTTCTCCTTCTAGAAGCCCAATTATTCTGATATTTGTGCTTTCTTGTTTCAATCTCATAACTCACATAAGCTTGCTTTGCTCTTTTAAAATTTCTGTTCTTTCATCTCTTCTGTGTTATTTCAAAATTCCTTTCTCCCGAAGTCACTTATTCTTTCTTCCATATGGTCTCCCCTGCTATAGCTGCTCTCTATTGCATTCTTCATCTCATCCACTGACTTCTTCAGCTCTACGATTTGTTTTGTTTTTTAAAATTTCAATCTCTTTGAAAAGAAGTCATTATGTTAACATATTTTATTCCTGATTTTACTGAGTTGCCTGAGTCTTCTTGTAAAATTCATTGAGTTTCTTTATAACTGCTATTCTGAATTCTTTGTCAGTCAGATCATAATATTCTGTGCCTTTGAGCACGGTTGCTAGAGAACTGTCATTTTCTTTTTGTGATGCCATATTTCCTTGATTTTCCATATTCCTGGTACATGCTGGTGCTTTTGAATCTGAAGTAGCGGATACGTCCTAAACTCTGTGCTCATTACCGTCAGCAGATGGGGTATTATGTTCTATGGTTTTGATATTATCTCGGTTTTTCCTATGTGTTTGTGCTCCACTCTTCTTGCTGTGTCTTGTAGCCAAATTTTTAAGCTTTTGTGTCTTCTCTGATTCTTACAATTCACCAGGTTGGCTGCACACCTTTTTTCCCCAGAAGGTGGAAACCAAGTTTGTGGTTTCTTCCCTGCCCATCAACAGGACCTGTTTTGAGTGGGCTCCTGGTCTAGCAGAGCTCGCTCTCATGGACACACTGCGGAGCAAGCACAGGGAGCCAGCATCAGAGTTGGGGGGAGGTGTGGGTTTAACACTTGGTGCATTGGGAGTGCCCACACACCTAGTAGGGAGATCCCCAGCATGGTACCCCCCCCCCCAGGGGTCCCTGAGTGAACTTCCTACTGAGCACGTCTTTGACACCATTTGAAATTCTTATCTGCCTCTTTCCCAATATCCTTCCTTCCCACAGTCGTGGAGCTCCCACCTTAGTACCCCAGATGCTGGCGGAGAGAAACAGGTTTTTCCAGCTGTGTTCCACCTGGTGAGGGTAGCTGGGTGCCTCTGCCAGAAAAATCAGCCCCTCGAAGTGTTTCCTTGCGGGGAGGGTTGATGTTGGGAAAGTCTCTTACCACCTCGGCTGCAAGCAAACTCGTATTTTTCTTTTTCTCCAACGGTGTGCCAGAGTCTCCCTTCGGGAAGGCTGGACTTCTGCAAGTTCTGTGTGTGAGTAACTGCCCAGGGCAGCACTCACCTGATTTTTGCCCTACAGCAGTGAGAGGGGTATAGGCAGTTTTGCTGGCTCTATTGGTTCCTTGCCTATACGGAGGTGTGTCTGTCTCTTACCAGTTGCAGTGGTGGGTGAGTCTTCTCTTGGGTCTCCCAAAAGACCCACCAAAGCACCTTTGTTCATGTTTAGATGTCTAAACTGTCGGTTAAAAAGGGAGATTAAAGAAGGAATGCCTTATGCAACCATGTCACCCCCTTCACGCCTGAATTTTTATGATCTAATTCAGTGCCTCTCAAACGCTGCCTACAAAGTACTCCTGTAGGCACTGGAGAGTGAATGCAAAACCCAGAGGCATCCAGGCTGGGAGGGGGTGGGGCACTATGAACGTAAAATTCCTTCAGAAGAGTCTTACGTTTGTCTTAAACTATTCAAATATTGTATTCTACCATACTTACATATTTGTATTTGTATATTTTCCTACCTCACCCAAATCAAACCAAATTCTCTAGAGAAACGAGCTAATTTAATTCTATGGCTTTGCATACTCCAATTTTTTTTTTTTTTTGGCCTACTCCAGTTTGAACCTTTTGTCCTCTCAATCCATCCTGCATACCCCAATTGTTCAGGTCATTCTAAAATATTTGCTCTGCTATGCCATTCTTCTACTCAAATCTCCCATATCTAGCCACTAGCCATTGGATAGGGTACTGCCTAGAATGGCATCTCCCTGGACAAGTCATGTACGGTCTTCTATAATGTGGCCCAAATCTCTCTTTAAAATCTAACTCTCCTCTATTCCTCAGCCTAAACCCTCTATTCCAGCCTGTCTGACCTACACAACATTCCCCAAAAACATTCACTGTGTAGCTGCAGGGATCATTCAATACCCCATACTGGGAACGGTGGAGTTACAGGGATACCAAAAAGAATGAGACATGGTTATGGACTCTCCTGCCCTTTCTCTCCACCTATTTAAATTCAACCCAACCTACCCTTCCAGGACTAAGAGAACGTTCACCACTTTCCATGAAGCCCTCCCTGATAACTCAAGCCCACTTTTCATCTACCCTGCTCTACCTTATTTCAGTCCTTCTTCAGAAAACAGTGCACACCCCCATCTCTGTTTCCTTACTGACCACTTACGCCTTAACTCTGTGCAACCAGGTTTTACTTTTCACACTCTCTCCAAGTGCTCCAAGGTCATGTGACTGCCCTTGGGGCAAATCCAATGGCCTTTTCCCAATGCTCATCCTCACTTCAGTGTCTGACACTACAGACCGCTTCTTGACATCTCTCTTCCCTTGTACCTCAAAACACTCCATTCTCAAGGTTCTCTTATTTTTCTGACAATTCCTTCTTTCTCCCCTTCTTGCCTCTGCTCCTAAATGGAGGTGTTTTCCATGCTCTATTCTCTGCCCTCCCATTCCTCACTCAAATGGGAACTTCTCAGCCAGCATCTCTAACTCCGACCTCCTCCTGAATTCTCTCCTTTTCCAGCTGCCCAATCAATATCTAGATCTGGGTTAATTATTTCACACGTATTAAGCCCTGTAATATGTAATCTGTTTTAGTAAAAAGAGGATTCACTCTACGTCCTTACATCCCCTTCTACCCTGGAGAAGTGAGCAGAAGAATTAGGAAAAAAACAATCTCTAAGAAATGTGAAGAGCCCTCCTCCACTGGACGAGATCCTTTATTTCCTACGGAACTTGAGAGGCTAATCACAATAATCACTTTACTCCTCTTGCCACTTTGTGATCTCCACACATAACAGGAGGTGCCCTGGCCCCTCCCTATGCCAAGGGGGAATAGTGTTCACCTTCCAAGTTCCCCTGCCCCGCACAGCTCTACTTCTGCCTCCAGGGAGTGTTACTTCATAATACAACCTCCTTCCCTTCAGCACCAAGGTCTTGTTAGCACTTCAGTGGTATGTCTCAGTTCTCTCCCACAGGAGTCTGACACTTTCAGGAGATATTCCCTCAAGAAGATGGAGTCAACTGGGTAAACAATGAAATGATCTTCAAGCCAACACTTTAACATGCTTGCGGGGATTGACATTTATCAAAGTACTTGCACATTCATTCATTATCCTCATTAGAGTCCCATGTGGTGGGTGGAATAAGTATTATTCACAAATTACAAATGAGAAAACAGACATAGGGAGGGGAAGGGATTGCCTCAAAGTCACATATCAACCAGCTGACTGATGACAGAACGCGGCCCCAACTGGCTCGTCCCGCTCCTCATCTAGTGCTTTTTAACGCACCTAATACTTGTCCTAAGCGTCCTCTCCCCTCTTCTCCCATCCCTAGCCCTTCTCTCTGCTTTGCTTCTTACCTTTCATTTTCCCAGCCAGCTCATATATTTTTCTTGGCTCAGCAGATCTTTTTTCCAGAGCTGTGAATAAACCACCTCTGCCCCAGCGGCCGGAGTCATCTGATAGAAGAAACAGAAAATTTTCTTCTATAGGAGGCAAAATCCAGTCCACAATTTAAAAAAACAAAGGTACACCGAAGAGACCTGTAGAAGAATGATTTTTCAAAGAGCAGAAGAAACTAATCTCCTGCACATATTATACACTGGACTTCTCAAATATGTTTAGGTTTTCTGGAATATACTTGGCCATCATAACAGAAAAGCATCAAAAAAATTAGTGTTCTGAAAGAGCAGAATCTCTGCGGTACTTCTGTAATTCCTGGGAGATGGCTGAGGAAAGATGCAGAGCAGATGTAATACAACAGCACACAACTCCCATTTTACAGGTAAGAAAATGGAAAGGTTAAATGACTTATTCAAGTTGGTACTAACACAGCTAGTTAGTACCTGGTATTTACAGTCATTCATTCATTCAATCATACTATAAATATTTGTTAGTATTACATATCAAGAACTGTTTTAGGCACTAGGGTTACAGCAGTGGACAAAAAGAAATCCCTGCTCCCATGAAGCTATTTTCTAGTTCAATGAAACAAATAAGCAAATACACAGGCAATACGTCAGGTGGTGATGTATCATCAAGTAAAATAAGGTAAGAAAGTGGCTAGAGAAGAATAGAGGGGTGAGGATGGGGTCTGGGCAATCAAGAGAGACCTCTCTGAGATGCAGACATTTGAACAATGCTTGATGTGGCGAAGTGGGGAAAGAGGGCTCCAGACAAAGGAAGTAAAAAGTACAAAGGTCATGAGGGAAGAACATGCTTGGAGTTTGGAGAGGATTCGTTTGTCTTACAGATGCTACCTCCTTGTACTCTCTTAAAAAACCTTGTGCAGAGAACAGGGCAGATCTTATACCATTATACAGATAAGGAAGTTGGGGCCCAGAGAGGCTGGGCTGCTCAACCGGATAAACAAGAGGGACAAGAGTCAAATCCCAGTCTCCTGGTTCTAAAATTCACTCTTTTTGACCACACAAGACTACACTGGGCCCATTAATCACCCCTAAATCAGGGTTCTGCCTCATCTTCCCCAGACCTTGGTACCATAAAGACTCAGGCCCCATTTCTCCTACCTACGCAGTGCACGATGACAGCATCCTCCGCCCCAGCCTGTGGGTGGGTGACATCACCGCTTACATACTTGATGGAGGTCGAGTCCGGGTCCTCACAATCCAGTTGGGCAGAGCGTTCATCTTCCCAGTCCTCCAGGTCCTCTGGTTCGCTCTCGTCGGAAGGCAGGCAGAAGGACTGGTAATCGTTGGACTCCCACCAGGCCATCCTTCAACAGGCCAGAGAGGAAAGGAAATTAACTGGGCTTATCACAGTTTCCCTTGGAGCACAGCTTGTACTGCTATTCACAAACAGTAAGTGCCAAGTGGAGATGCAATTGGAAACTCACCCTGTTTTCTGCCTATTTGTAAATAAACAAGAAGCCTTACTGATTAGCCTAACTGCCTCCTGACTACACTTCAAAAATGAGCAGCCACCGGATGTCACTGTTTTTAAGAACATGTGACTAAAAGGGAATGTTCAAGTAAACTACTCTCCTTAGGCAGCTGAAATAAAATCCTAAAGTTTTCTAGCTTCAACTGAATGCATCTTCTCTGCCTTAGGCACTCAGGGCTGTTCTCTTAAGTAGACTAACTGTTAAGGTTAAAGTTTAACCTTTAAAAATGTATTCTAGTACCAGCAGGAACTACCAGCTTTACAGACATTTTCTGCAATTGTAAAGTGATGTTCAACTGTGGACTCACTATGCAATAGTGATTCCCTTACCAACTGGGACCCTCAGCTTTATTAATAATACAATCGAGTAACACATACATACTTTTTCTTATGTTCTGCTTCTTCCTTTCTCCTCTTCTTCTCCTCTAATAGTTTCTTTCTCTTGGCTGCTGCTTCTTGTCTTTTCTTCCTCCTGTCCTCCAGCTCTTCTGGGCTCAGAATCCGCTTCCTTTTGGTAGACCCCTCCACAAGGCCTGGGATGAGAACCTGTAGGAAGAACAAGCTCCATAACCAGGAAAGTTGGGGGCTACCTGTTCCTTCACGAGTTTCATTCATCCCTAAAACACACTCTGAACAGAAGCAACGTGCTTAATATTTCACAAGACATTGCATCTCCACGTCACCTTGGGTGGTGGGAAGTGGTAGCAAGACACTTCAATTGAGACATTTTATAGGCATGGTAACCAGGATACTGTGCTCTAAACTCAGCCAAAGCACTGCCATGGTTAGTACAGCAATACATCATTTTGATTAATTTCATTAGGAATAAGGTACTTCAGAAAATAACTTTTTTAAAAAATTGAAGGCATACCCTGCAGGACGCTATTTTAGGTTTAACCATGTTTAATGGAAATCTTCCTCAATGTATTATATCATTCTGCCTTAAACAGAATATTTCAACATCATGATTATCTTAATGACAACTAGCATTTAATGAGCACAGATTAAGTGCCAAATACTGTGGACACTACATACAACACTTATGATTGCCATCCTCTCTTAATGACATAGGGTCATGACTGTCAGCAGCAGGGTATGGTATTTTGGTGTAATACAGTGATCCCTTCAGGGGTGGCTTAGACAGACAAGGCTGCTATCACCTGCATTAAACGGTAAAATATACGCTCCTTGTTATTATTTTTATGCCAACTTCTTACATAGTTTTTATACTAGGGTACAATCAATGATACTTGTATTTCAACAAACACTTACACACTTATTTCTTAACCAATCACTCCCAGCATCATTTTTTGTTCTCTTAGGATGAACATCTGAAAGAATTTATCCTTACACAAATTAATAGTTCTTACACTGCCTTTATGTCGGAGTAACCGGCCCTCTTGACTAGTCTTCTCCAAAAGGGTTTTGTGAAGATTCACCAGTTGCTCAAATGATTTTCTGTCTTCTTTACTAGGCTCCTTAGAATAATCTTTACCTTCAAATAAGTACATGTGGTTTTCTAAAAACATAAAACACAAAGAGAAAAATGTTAGATACTAAAGAAAAATACATTGATTCTAGTCAAAGCATAACCAGGGTGGACAAAAGAGCAGCCCGTGTTCTAAATGGGCTAAGACTAGCTTGTGATGAAGGTACTGGATTTCTGGTCTCACTAATGCTGATGGGTTTGGGATCCACATGGGGATCTCGTGTATTTACTTTTCAAAGGAGAGAGCATGGTAAAGCCCTTTTGGTCCATCTCTAGATGGTCTGTGAGTCTCTGCTGGATGCCTCCACCCTGCTGAGTTCCGGAACACTCATCACGCATCCATTCCACACAACTCCCCAGCATAAATCTCACTGACATTAAGATTATCTAATAAAGGTAACCAAGAGCATATTTTTTAAATTCTAAACACACCTTTAACACTCAACTTTTTCCCTCCTTTGCTGTAAAATAAAAAGGAACAAGTAGAAAATCTAGGAGGGAATAAAGAAGCACAAAAACAATCCCTTAGATTTACAATATTCTTTGTAGATCTCATGAAGCATCTTCATGAGCCTCACCACAGTTCTGATATAACTAACTCCACTTAAGAAAGGGAAAACTGAGGCTCAGACAGTGATCAGGAGACTCCCCAGTTCTCATTGCTAATAAGTGAAGAAGGCAGGATTTCCTGACTCTAAGGCCAATGCGCTCTTTTCAGTACATTACTGTTCTCTATAGAAGGATGGAAAGGTAACAGGCCAGCAAATAACAATTACAGTAACAACAATAATGGTGACAGTGTAAACTTGAACAGCATTTTATGCTATGTGTTTTGCAACTGTGTAAAAGAGTAAAGCAGGTACTGATAGCACCGTTTTACAGAGGAGGACCCAAAGGCTCAAAGAGGTTGGGTGATGTGCCAAGATCATGAATCACATGATAAAGAGAAGTCATAACAAGCCAAGACTAGCAACCAGAGAGAGGTGAGACAATGATTCTAAAGTGAAACATATTTAATAGCACATGTTACCAAAAATGTATTTTCACAGCATTATAAAATCAGCTGTAGGTATGCTTTTCCCAGAGAGTTCGAAAGCAAAACATTTTCATTCTCAAGAGATCAACTGCTTCACACTTGTACCCAAATCCAGCCAGCTGTAATTCTAATTGGCATTTGCTAATTAAATCAGCAGGGGGGCTTTCAATGAGGTGCTCTAGCAACAAGTGGAAAAAAAAAATAAAGAGTCGAGAAGTGTAAAATATCAACATATGTATCTTCATGCAATTCTCAACTTACGAAGGTGATTTAAAAAAAAAAAGCCCGGCATTCAAGATAAAGCCACCCTGTTTTCTATTTAATTTTGATAGGGGATGCTGTAATTACTAGTCTTTCATATTTATTTGTATTCTTTTAACCATGCTATCTGTCTTCAGTCTGCAGCCCAGAGAAGTTTAGAGACCACAGGCTTAGACACTTATCTATAGCCTGTCAATGGAATCATCTACCACAGAGTGAACTCTATACTCACTGATCAAAGACAAAATTCAAAATTTTAATACAACTGGGAAATCTTTTCTGGCAGCTGGACTGCCTGAAAAAAAAATATATTTCTCAGTCCAACTGCCAAAAAATTGTAATTATCTTTCTGGAAAACAGTGAAATTTTATTTTATTCTATTAAACGTTAGGAAAATAGGCTGAAATTAATCTAGATGAGTGCAGAAATGGGTGCAAGCTTCAGTACTTAATGTAATCAAAATGCAACTTAAAAATAGGACCACATACATCTATTTCTTCTCCCACCTAAAATAACTACATGGCAGTAAAGGGATTTTAAAAAGATATATGAGACTACAGTGGATGAAAAGGTCAATAACTCTTTAGAAAATAGAAGTGGCTGGAGGGATGATAACAGAGTGAAAAGAACAATGGAAGCAAAACACAGTGCCTAGTCAGG